AGTCAGTCAGTCAGTCAGTCAGTCAGTCAGTCAGTCAGTCAGTCAGTCAGTCAGCCAGCCAGCCAGCCAGCCAGCTTGCCAGTCATTCAGTCAGCCATTCATTCATTCATTCAGTCCGTCAGTCAGTCAGTATGGTCTCAGGGCTAAAAATTGGTGGTTGCACAGTCACCAGTTGCGAGTTAAAACTGACAAGGACCACCTAAAGTTAAGGTTTGAACACCCGATGTGCGACCATGCTACAGAATTTCAAAAAGTTGCAATGTAAATGCGAAGTACAAACATTTAAGTTAAAAATAAAACTCAATATGTAATTCAATTGGACTACCTTCCTCTTCGTTTCTTTGCCTGGACTCTAAGATCATCCATTTTAGTGAATTTTTAGTTCTGAAGTGGAAATTCCGAGCCATTTTAACAGTGATTTCACAAGCGACCACATTCACAACATATAGACACCATTTTGATTTTGTGATTGCCACATGACTCTGGACTTTTGTATTCTTTCCATTTAGTTAACGCTCCGTTAAAAGCCATGGGGCATTTATTCAAGTTTTTCATTTTAAACTAGAGGAAATTGAGGGCTACTTCATTTTGGGATGGGCCACTAAGAAATCAAGGAAACTAGCCTGACTGGCCACCAAGTACTGGAGTTAATTTTTAGCCCTGTGGTTTGAGAACACAAAACAGTCAACAGTGACATTAGAAAGACCAGAGTCACCTCATTCATTCATTCTGTGAGTCAGTCAGTCAGTCAGTCAGCCACCCAGTCAGTCAGTCAGTCACTCCTTCAGTCATTCATTCAGTCATTCAGACAGTCATTCAGTTAATCATTCAGTCAGTCAGCCAGCCAGCTTGCCAGTCAGTTATCCATTCAGCCAGTCAGTCAGCCATCCAATCAGTCCATCAGTCAGTCAGTTCAGTGACTCATGAGTACTTTTTCATAACAAAAAAAACTATAACCACAGGCTGAATTCCAAAAATGATCAAATTAGGATTACGATCTGAGAACAAAAATAGTCAAAGGTGACGCCAGAAAGACAAGAGTCACCTGTTCATATACAAAATTAGCCAATCACTTTAGAGGAAACGAACAATGATTGGAACTAAATTCAATTGTGGCAATTAGACCTTCAGACAAAGCAAATAAAGCTTACAAAGAATCTAGACTAGAGTCATAGAACATTTCTGCTAATTGGACTGGAAAATTTAATGTACATCATATGAGTCAAGGTAGTTAAATTGTAACATTTTTAAGAGAAAGGTAAAGTACATGTTTTTTTTTGTGTGTGTGTCTAGTGTAATGTTAAAAAAATCCATCCAACAAAAGGAAATGACTGAAAAGCCAAGCATACCTATTAAAGTGGTTTATACCAATCCTGGTCTCCAACTTCTGAGGTTTTGTTCCAGATTCAAATTCTGAATAAAGACTTGAAGTGTCATCATCAGTGCTAGAAGGAACTGATGTGCAGAGTCCATCAATACTGTCCACACTGCTGAGGTCTCTTCTCATTTCATCCCCTAGGTAAAGTTATAGTTGACAAAGTGATTAACATGTAATGTCTCCCTATAACATCCATACATTATCCAGCAAGCAGGTAGTGAGAATACCTGAACTCAATATATAGAAGTTGTTATCATGATCTATCATAAAATTCTTGAAACTAATTTACAAGGAAATAAGAAGCAGCTGGAGGGAATAATTGATAATCAGGTCTTGGGAGTTAAACAGTTAAAGATCACAACCAGGTTACAAACAGCTGACAAACCAAATCAACCTTAGCAATTTGCGTGTAATAGAAATGAACAAATATGAAGTGCCTTGATTTCTTTGTTAGTTATGAAATACTAAGGACAGTTATCAAACCTGAGTCATCACTCTCATAGGTCGAGCCATCATCAGTGATTGTGTCTCTCCTTGGCCTCCCAGGCAGGTCTCCATTGAGAACCTTATTAGGCACTTTATCATCCTCCACAAAAGCATCATCAGGCAGTGTCTCCACATTATCCATAACCTCCACTTTAACATAATGTTCCGTTTCACTAGTGACACTTCCTAGCCTTGTATCCACCTTCTCGTCTGCTGCTTCTCTTTGCTCATTCACTTTGGCATCTGTTTTATATCCTGCTCCAAAGAATATTGATGTAAGATCTGCTGGAGGATTATCCTGAGAAGAATTCAATGCAATTTCGCTGCTATACATTTGAGGTTCTGCACCAGATAAACTGTTGATATTGTCTATAATAAGTATTGACTTGACTCTTTGACTTCCTCTTTTCCTCTTTGTGATTCGCAGCACAGGCGTCACTTGAGCTTGTGAGGAATTCTCTGTCCTGGGACTTGTAATTTGAGATCGAGGATCGCTGTTTGATTTAGGTCTAAATAGATCTTTTAAAGGAGACCCTGAGTATGCCCTCATCCTTTCAAATTGTTTATCCATTCTATATTTGCGGTAGTATGATTGAATGACTCGGGCTGCCTTATGAGCAGTATCCTTGCCTCCATACTGTCGTTCCAGAACCTTCACACTTCTGTCTTGAAGTTCTGGACTAAGTTCATATTTTTTCGAAAATGATTTCTGTCTGTTCAAGCTGTCATTTCTTTTGACTGCTTTGAAAGTATCACGTTTTACTAGTTTTGGAGAGTTTTGTGGTGTTTCTGCAGCTGTTACTGTGATCATGGGAGATGTTGGGGTCTGAGGAGTTGTAACGACCTCAGAATTGCCTTCAGTTGAGCTATTTCTCTCTGGTGTATCCTGAGATATCTTTCTGGAGTCCACCACCCTAAGTTAACAAAAAAGGCATAATCTAATTAAGTCATCATATAATTGTAACTCTTTTACTCCCAAAATATCATCAACCCATCAACCCTTTAACTCTCAAGATCTGATTGTTAATTCTCCCCTCTAGCTGCTACACATTTCCTTGTAAATTAGTTATGAGAACTTGGTGCTAGATCAAGATAGCAGCTTCTACCTGATCAATGTTAATATCCTCATTGCCTGTTTGCTGAAGAATGTATGGATATTGTAGGGAGAAGTTTTATGTTAATCACTTCTGAGAGTTAAAGGGTTAAGTGGCAACCCCACTGAGGAGTCAGCCAATGCAAATTGACTTATTCTTCAGAATTCTTACTGGTTTTGAGTTTGAAAGGCGAGTATATTTTACACCTCCAGCGCCAGGTATTTGACTGTTACTCTCTAACATACTCAGTACATTATGCAGGCAATAAAGGGGTTAATTCTCCTAACTATCAACCATGCAATTCTTAAAATGTTAGGTCAGAGAATTTAGTCTTGGATCAATTAATGATCCAGGGGTTTCAATAAAAGCTAGTTACCAGCAGTCTAAGGCTGCCTGTTAGACCACTATCTGTTGTACCATTAGCCTGTGAGGAGGCCCTCCTTTTTGGGTTCCACCTTAACACACAGCCACCTGTTGTACCATCAGCAGCCGCTTATGTAAAAAGTTATTGAAACCCCTGATAATCCCCTGATTAATATTTTCCTTCATTCTCACCAGTAGTCTGCTTGATATTGTATTGATATTTGAAAAAGAAATTTTCTTCATTTTGGTCATTCATAGGAGTTAAAAGAGTTAAGCCAACTTGAAGATAATACTTAATCTACCCTTGAATGCAAGTATAAAAAAGTAAGAATTTAATTATAGCTCAGGCAACCCAAATTTAGCTATTAATTTTTGCAGAGGGGATAGAAAATTCTTTGATCTCCACCGCCTGAAAGGAAACCCTGTTTCTGTTTCAGTTAAGGCAAGGTTTAAACCTGTTCACTACTAAGATCTTAATAGTGATTCTACATTCATAATATTTTATTGAGACTCCTTTAAACAGGGCTTTTTCAGTCATAATTATTCTCCATGCTATCTTCCATAAATTTCCCATAATCTTAGTTTTGATAATTTAGAGTTGAACCCAAATATAATCCACTTAGTGACACTTTTCTTTATTCTCATCACCAGTTTGCTTGCTATCATATTGAGATTGTAAAGAGAAATTACTTCTTGATCACTCAAGGGAGTGAAGGGGTCAATAAGTTATCAATCTTCTACTTGAACAGAGAAATCAAAGCAAGAATATTCACAGCTAAACATAAGGAAAAGGTCTTTTATTTTTTTTATTATTAAAGAATGACATTCTAAGTTCATTTGTGGTACATATCAGACAAAAAATTGAAACTGAAAGACATGAAACTAGTCATTTCCTTGGATTGAATTTGCATGTCAATAATTTATGAATAATCTAATTCCTTGGCAATGTTTCAAATAATTTTCTTTTGAGTGACACTGTCAGACTAAATTGGTCATATTTGTTTGGAAAATAGGGAGAAATTTTTAGCATTTAATTGGTAAGTGGCAAGCTTCCACAACAAAAATAACCTCTTACTATCAAAAACAATTCCACTGTTTATTTATTTGAAGCACTTTGGTGATTTATAATGGGTATACGGATAAAAGCAACATGATCTATTGGTAATAAACATTGCATTTACCTCAATGTTTTTGATGAAAGTAAGCAATTTTAAATGAAAACACAGCGCACTTTAGACCGTAGCTCCACGTGTCTGCGCGGGTAAAAACAAAGAAATCGCCCACGCGCCAAATTAGTAGAAGCTGTTGCAATTTACTTTCGTACTTAAATTTCAAAAAAAATTTTCAACCATTCGGAAATGGCGCCGAAGAAAAATGGTTTATATCTTTTTAATACGACCAGCATAAAAATAAAAATATGTATAAAAATGTTATGGAAATATGCAATAATTTCCCCTCAGGCCATGCGTAAAAATAAAAGAAATTTTTCATGAAGTATTTGAGCTTCGAAGTGAAAAGGCGACCTGTTTTGAGTTTATAACGTATCTTGTTTCCCTCTGATTTCCTTACCTGTTTTCACCATCCGCTATATTTTTTGCACCAGTGTTGACGTTTGTCAAGCTGTTGGCCCTTTCCCTTGCGATATAACGGTGGAGTTGATTTCGCTCCTTTTCAAGTTCTTTCACTCTCGACCTGAGAATTTCAATCTCTTCGTTTTTCTCGCGTATAACTTTATCTTGCTTCCAAATACATGCTTTTAGAGTGTCGACCAAGGAGTCGACGCTCGTCAGGGCATCTAGCGTTGATTCTATCGAACTCATTTTGACATCAGGTCGTGAACAACTAGCAATTCAACCGCTAATCCACACATTGTAGTAATAAATGATCAATCAGTACCCGCCATTTTGTTTACATCGTCTAAGCGAAGATCACTGAGCCCAGAGAAAAGAGCACGTGATAAATCGTAACCAACCGTGTAGTGTAATTTTTAATGACGAGCTCACGAGAGATTGTCGGAAATGTTCGGTAGAGAGTCTTGCATGCGATCGGAACTCCACTTCCGCATGAAAACATTACTAGAGGAAGTGACCGCGAATTTGGCCTTTTGGATTTTTTCGGCGTTACACGGCGCTGCCCAGATATTTATAATGTTTCATGTCATCTCTTCAAATGTCTATATTTTTAATCGCTCAAATAACTCAGAAAGTAGTTTTTACACAAATTCACCATCTCTTTTGAGTAGAAATGCTTTTTGAAAAATTAAATTAAGCAATTGGGGCATGATAGGATTATGGGGTTCCCCACGCCAACCCTACTCTTGGACCAGAACTTTCTCCACCAACGCCATAAAATGTTGCCAAATATCAAGTTTGTATGCTTCAAAGACTTGAGCAGATTCAGTGAAACTTGCATGAGGTCACACACACAAAACTAATAATCGCAGTGGGATGAACCCAGGGGATTTGATGGTCCCCTCCTCCCTCCCTTGAGGAGCTTATTGGTTCATTGCAAAAAAAATGGATGATAGTAATGGTACATCCATTTGAGGAGTCCTCGTCTACTTTTTATAGATTAAATAGTGATTTGAAGTATTTAGTTTTGTGGAGGAAGAAGGAATCCTCTGAACTCAGGAGAGCAAAGAACTCAAGGAAGTTGAATATATGAGGCATAGCTGATAAGAAGAGAAGAGTTTCTCATGAGCAGTTCACAAAGATATTATATCACAAGGGAGTTTTCTTTTACATCTATTTATTTTCATATGATAAGCTTAATTATATTTGCATTTTTATTTGTTCTTACCTATGATCTATTGGAGAACAGATGCGCATAAATGACATCCCCATTAACAATGTGTAAAACAATTGACTCCATGTTGCTATGGGTCTGTTCCTTAATAGATCACAGAAGATGTCAGTATTTGGTAAGAACATCTGTGACACACTCAGCTGAGCCTTGAGTGCCAGTTTTCAACTCTTATCATAATTTGACGTCATCTTTGTTAAATTGTTGAACAGACACATGGCAACATGGCATCTATTAATTAACCCTTTAACTCCCAATATCTCATTAGTCATTCTCCTTACTATCTGCCAAATAATTATCATTATGTTAGTTTGGAGAATTTGGTATCAGATCAATAAGTAATCCTATAATTGTTATTTTTCCTTATTCTTATCACTTGTCTGCATGATATTGTCTAGATAGAGTAAGGAGAAATTCTGTCTTGGTCACTCATGGGAGTTACAGTGATAAATTGATGAAAAAGCATTGAGGCTGTTGAATCAGATTCTGAATACTTACTATTGATGTTAACACATTTATTTGATTATAGCAACTAAAATACCTGTCAGAAGTAGTTTACTATAGAGCAGTAAATTGAAATAAATCTTTGTTATAAAAATATATTACTTCCAGAACATGATTTGAAAGTTAGAGGTAAAAATGACCTTTCACAGTATACTGAAAGTTTAGTTTGAATGTCTTCACAAATGTTTGGTAAATGACAAAGAAAACCCAAAATATATACACAAAGCAGTTTTAATTAATATGATTTACTCCTAATAAAAGGAAATTGAACTTCCTGAGCAAATTCAAAAGGTAGACACATAGATTGGCAGCATTAACTCTTCATCAGAGTGCAACCTTTTAAAATTTGCTGCAGTTGCAAGCAATTGATAAAAAGCAATTCTCTTTCTTGTTTATGTTGCAAAACAATTTTTTAGAAGCTTTATATACTTAGTAGATATATATACATATTTTTTTACAATGATAACAAATGCTTATGGTGTGTGCTTAACTGCATATTATATTACTTATTATCAAATAATTTATAATGGCTTTAAATTAGCAACCAAGGGTATGCTGTATTTGTAGAACAGAGCAGCTGATGACTCAAAAGTTCTGCAAATTTAAAACAATATTTTCCTATGTTAACTTAACCCTTAAACTACAAAGATCTGATTGATAATTCTCCCCTAGAACTTCTAAACATTCTCTTGTAAATTAGTAACAAGAATTTGGTGTTAGATCAAGATAACAAATAACAACTTCTACATAATGAGTTTGAGTATGGATATAATAGGAAGAAGTTACATATGCATATTGACAACTTCTGAGAGGTAAAGGGTTAAAGGTGATACAACACAATAAATTGAATAAAATCATGACTATTGCCATAGTTGTTGAAACTTCAGTCCTAAATACTGATATCAATCCTTCTTAGGGCCACTCTCAGACTACACAATCAAAATAGATTGTTAGACATAGATTTGTCAGTCTATGTCTAAATCACTATCACTATCATCCTCTTTCTTAGCTGTCACACTTGCTGTCAACTGGCATTCCAATTCTTCAGTTAAAATGTCATTTCTGAAAAAGAAAAAGAAATTGCATCAAAGATGAACATGTATGGTAATGGTGAACTGTAATTAATAAGCTGTTCTTTAAGGTGCTAGTATCATGTTGAGGAAAAGCAGTTTCATAGGCATTGACATTATTCTAAACAATGATTTTGTATTATTTATATAAATTAATATATTCAAGATAGTACCAATATTTTTAAATATGTAAGTCAATCCTTGCATAGAAGCCTTAGATAATTGTTATATTTAAAATGCAATATGCAGTATTATCAATTTTTGTAATAATGAGAGATTTTTAACTAGTTTGTAGTTAGTTTGTAGCATAGAAGAGCCACCCCTAGATGGATATGCTAATAAACCATTACAGTCGAACCTCGATTATCCGGACTCATCGGGACCTCGGTAAATATTCCGATTTTAGAGAGTCTGGATAATCGAAAATATGAATATTAATGATATAGAAATGTGAGATAATTATCTGCTTATCTTTAATCAATAGAACGGCAAGCATTCGCTCTGTAGGCATGTTTTTTATTTGAGTTTACGATCAATCGCTCGTGTGTTTACATAACCCACGCAGAAGGAACTAATCAAGCATGAAATTCCCTTGGCAACAAAACAATTGAGCCAACCATATCAGCTGAATGCATCAGAATACTTCTTTGACTAGTCGCACTTTCGAATTTTGAAAAGCGCATAGGATAATACGCTGTTTTAACAGTCTTTTGAAAGGATTATTGGGCTTTTTGCAACTTTGAGTTTTCAAGATCACAACTAATTAATATTCATGGAAAAATTGGGACCAGAGAAGAAAGTCCGGATAATCAAATAGTCCGGATAATCAAGGGTCCGGATAATCAAGGTTCGACTGTATTATCATTATCATTATCATTACCATTATCATTATCATTATCATTATTATCATTATCATTATCATTATCATCATTATCATTATCATTATCATTATCATTATCATTATTATCATTTTTATTATCATACTACATGCTCTTTGATTAGTTGATGGGTGTGTTTAGAAGAGTATGTAAACCCAGTAGTGGTGTCTCTTTTTCTGTCCTTCCTGAGAAATATTTATCAATTAAACGTAATAGAGGACTTTTTGCTCTGTTTCCATTTACACCTCCCTCTTGTTTCCTCTATAACTTGCTAGATCTGATTATCAACTCTCCCCTCTAGCTGCTACTCATTTCCATGTAAATGAGTCATAGGAATTTAGTGTTAGATTTGAGTGTTCTCATAACCTGTTTGCTGGATAACATATGAATATTAAAGAGAGAAGTTACATGTTGATCACTTGTGAGAGTTTAAGGGTAAACCACAGATCCATTGGTTCATTCTTTGACATGAAATTATTTCAGTCTGTTAGTACAGTTTGGATGGATGCAATGGCTTTGTGGGTGGTGAGATTGAGTCTAGATCCAGAATTAAAATATCAGATCTCTGCCATGTCTGCCAAACAAGTTCAATTTGTTTGAATAGCAATACTCTTGCTCTTCTTGAGCTGAAGAGCCTTGCATGAGCCAGAGCTGCGATGGGCCTCTAGACTTAAAAGACTTCCATCTAAGTGCAATCTTCTCTAACCAACCAGTCAAGTTCCCTGCCATGTTGGCACTTACTCAATCAAGAAGCTCTCTACATCAGAAGCAAAGAAGTCTTGTCCAAAGGTGTCTTCCAGCTTAACAAAGTTGCCAATAGTTTGTCCACCTTTGTAAACAAGTAAAGCAGGGAGGCCTTCTTTTGTCTGTGATGAAATGAGATAAATGCCAAAACAGGAAAACATATTTACAATTTCATATGCCTTGGCTGGTTACAGCTAGCAGAAACTGGCTAGCCAGACTGCTAACTTTAAAAATGAATGGTGTCAAAACATTAATAAAATAATATTTTCAGAAGTTTTTAATAATTTTGTAAACAGTCTATCAACATGGTATTTCAAATTTAGATTTGAATTGACCTGTTCACACAAATTTGATTTAAGTGACATTTTTTTTAATGAATTGTTTATGCCAGGCTGTTCTGATCTAATTGCAAGAGCCCATAGTTGTCATCTTTTACCTATCCAGTGTTCTCCTTTATCTTAAGCACAATAGGTTAAAAAAGTATTTACACTGGTAAAGCAATCGTTTTACTTGTTGAATTTTGAAGAATTCCATGCAACTAAAGGCTATCATAAGATGTACTACAGTTTGTAAATTTTACTTGTTACTACCTGAAAAGTAGAATGCTGCCATAGCAGACAACATCTACAAGGGGATGTGGAGATGGAGTGGGAACACTCTATGCTGACAGGTGACCAGCATCATCTGCCAATCCTTGGATAGAAGCCATCCAAGGAAATGCAATGAAAAAGAACTAACACTGAGATGGAGAAGACCCCAACAAGAAGACCTATGGACTATCAAGACGACCATGGGGAGGGGTGGGTGGGGTTAAGAAAGCAGTCCAAGATTGAGAAGATGAAGGGATACATTCACGACGATCGGTCATGAGGTCCAATTATTAACTTCCCACAACTCAAATTTACAAAGTTGGTACAGAAATTTAAACTTACAAAGTTTCTGCTAATACCAGTTTCCCTAGCAATGATCTTGCAAAATTTGACCTAATTTGAATCAAAGGAAAACAGCAACTATAACATGCATCATAATTGCTTTGAAATAGGCGTGCATTTTAGCACCAAACAAATCTACACATCATTTCTCTGAGAAATAATAACTAGAATTTATTTTAAAATCATGAATGTTATTACCATGCCACATTAAAAGGACCATGCAAAACAAGTTCTTCAAACAGCAATTATGATCAAACCAAATTTAAAAGTACAACCAGGACTCATCATTATTTGTTCAGAGGGAGAAAGGAGGGAAAAAAAAGGGAGGGTCCATGGCTATTTCTGATTGGCTCAAGGGGGGAGGTAAACTTTTTATCAAGAATTCTAAGGAGGGGTCAGCAGTTTGAGGTACATTTTATGAGTGATCCATTGCCCAAGGTGGTGTTGTGCAAAGTAATCATCTTGTGGTTGTGTGTGAAACTAATTTTAATAATTACTAGGTATATGAGAGGCGATATGAAGTGATGGGGGGGGGGGAGGGTGGTCATCATGTTAATATTTATAGTATTTAATAAAGAAGGGGGTCACATGCTATTTAAATGGCCTGAAAGTGAGGGGGGAGCAACTTATAGAAATTTTGATTCTAAATTTTTCAGAATATTTTTCCTTCTTCCCCTTTATATAAAAAATAACCAGTCTCTTAAGAGGAAATCATATAGAATGATAAACATTTCTCACCAGAGAGTACTGCTGGGCTAAACACTGCAGACAACCATTCATAGCTCTACAGCTTTGAAGATCCTTATAGCATAAAAAAGGAAAATTAAGAATTAAGCATGATACTTAAAATACTGCGGTATGATTTGGATAAAGACATGTTATAAATTTTTATACCCTTTAACCCTTAACAGTGACTAACAAATCTACTTTTTCCCAACAATATCGCCCCTGAATCAAATATTAAGGTAATGAGAATAAAAGAAATGATCACAAACTCAAGAAGCTCTTGATTGTTAGACAAAATCTCCTTGTCAGTACCATAGGAAATGTATAGAGAACAGTATGGAGAATATGCATACTGATGTTAGGGTGTGAAGGATTAAAATGATGTTACCTCACTGAAAAGATGAACCACAACAATCACATTTGGGTTTTCTTTATCTACAGCATCAAGAAACTGATCCTTGTTCTGTAATGAAATAACTTTTCCAAACTTGGGGCTGAAAAGGAAAAATTTCATGATGATATCAAAATGAATATTAATAAGTTGAGAGGACTATTGGAAAAAAAAGCGTTAAGCCACTCCTCATAAAACTGGTGGATCACACAACAATTTACGATTACTATATTTTAATTAACCCTTTAACTCCCAAGATCCAGTTGTTAATTCTCCCATCAAGCTGTTACACATTTCCTTGTAATTTAGTTACAAGAATTTGGCATCATATCATGATAACAACCTCTAACTGATAAGTTTGAGTAATCTCATTATCTGTTTGTTGCATAGTGTACAGATATTGTTGGGAGAAGTTACATGTTAATCACTTTTGAGAGTTAAAGGGTTAAACAAATAAATGAGAAAGGAATTTTCAAGCTTCTTTTCCTGCAGTTTTCTCAGTCAAAGTCAAAGTTTTCTTGTGAGGATCATTTCTTTACTTATTTTTCCTTTAATCATAAGAAAATGGAAGTGTTTCAACCTGTTTAGTTGAAGTCTTCTTTCCTGTTCTTCCTTTAGCTGAAGTAATCTTTGCAAGTGGTATTGTTGAATGAATTCATCAGTATCGAGCTCTAGCTCCTTAAGAAGTTCCTTTTCTCTTTCATCATCAAGCTGTAAATAACAAAAAATATAATTATATTCGATTTCTAAATTACTTATTTATATTTAGAGACATTATTTTCAAATTTTTTCTTTAACATTAAATGAAGCATTACTATTTTAACTACATTTTCCAAGAAAAAAAAATTGGAAAATATTGAAATGCACACAAGTTATTTACTGTAACTAACCTTTCCATTGTTATATAATGTATGGTGGTTGGAGCTCCAAACTTAACCCCTTACACCCTAGCATCAGTATACATATTCTCCATACTGTTCTCTATAGAGTTCCAGAGGTGCTGACAAGGAGAATTTGTTGAATAATCAAGAGTCTCTTTAGTTGGTGATCATTTTTGTTATTCTTGTGACCTTAGCATGTGATTCAGGGAGGTTATTGTGAGGAGAAGTTAGATGCTGGTCACTCTTATGGGGTAAAGGGTTAAATTAAGGCAGTCTACTGAAATACCAAGTAGGGAGGGGGCATTAACATACATTGAACTAACAAACATCCTCCAATCAATACTTCTGGAAACCTCATAGGATGGAAAGTAGTAAAAGCAGCATTTGTTTGGCTTTCAATGTTGAAACTTATCTACAGATTTATGTGTAAGCTCACACTAGGGTCACTGACTTTTGTTCTTACACTGATAAGTGGATATTCACACAGAGGCATTGCTTAACCCAGGAGTTTGGTGGGTAGAAGACTTTAACCCTTTAAATCCAAGATCCGATTGTTAATTCTCCCCTCTAGCTGCTCCACATTTCTTTGTAAATTAGTTATAAGAATTCAGTTTTAGATCAAGATAACAATTTCTACCAGGTAATTTTGAGTATTCTCATGACCTGTTTGTTGGATAATGTATGGATATTATAAGGAGAAGTTTCATGTTAATCCTTTTTATGAGTTTAAGGGTTAAATGAGATAAGATGAAATGTCCACTTCTCCCTTTGTTTAACAAGGGAATATGAGACAATTTGAGAGGAGAATATAGTAGTTCATCACAAGCCAATTAGGGACCTTTTTTCACTAACCCTATCTTATTATAAGGACAAGAAATGGCAGTTCTTTAATGACATGCATTATCAATAACCAGGAATTTATAAAATTTCCAAAGGCACTTTAGATATATCATATTGTTTATGTAACGATAACAACTTACACTGCTTTGGCAAGAGACAGAAAACTTCTGTGCCAATGCTCTAATTTCTTTTTCTTTTTCTTTCCGCTGTTCAGTCTCAAGTTGCTTATAGCGACGATAGTCTTGAATTACACCTTTTGGTCCTGTCTGAAGACTCAAGATCAATTATGAGTTAATAGAAAATAAATAAAAAAGAAAACCAATCTGACAAAGGGCTTAATAAAAGGGGTAAGTTTCTGATAGAACTATGGTGATGCATCTGTTGAGGAGTGTAACATGATAATTTTGGTTTTATTAACCCTTTAACTCCCTAAGTCTCATTATTAATTCGCCTTACTGTCTGCCAAATGATTCTCATTATTTTAGTTTGGAGAATTTGATATCAGATCAATAAGTAATCCAATAATTTATATTTTTCTTTATTCTCATTACTTGCCTAAGTGATATTGTATAGATATAGTAAGGAGAAATTATGTCTTGGTCACTCACAGGAGTCAAAGGGTTAACTAGGTTGATAAGGTAAATTTGTCACCATAACGAGTTTCAAAGCTGATGTTTCTGGCATTAGTCCTCTGTCATCACTCTGACAAAGTGCTGATGCTTGAAATACAAGTCAGCATGTCAGCTTTGAAACTCTGTATGATGGCCAATTTACATTATCAACTCAGTTGACAAAATCAAAATTATCTAGCTATGGCCAAAGCATGCCCCTTGACACTCTGAGGGATATCTTCTGCAAATTAATTCAACCCAAAGGAGAGTTACTAAGGATACAGTTTTTTCCCGGTATAGACTGACTGATAATAACTTATTTATGTTTTTAGCTGGTTTCCTTTTTAGCACTTTGTCATGTATGACGTGGAAAAACTTTAGACCATGGTCCATATCGCAATAAACTGGACGGATTGAAAGCTTATAAGCCAATCACATTGGAGGATTTAAGATTCTTGCCCGCTGTGATGCTCCAGAAAAGATGAACTCTATTTGCAATTGATTTCTTTGATCCGAGAACTGCATGTATAATCAAGTATGGGGTGACACGGAAACCTTACCGCTGCTGTCAAAATTTTTTATAAACGTTTTTCAGACATCCAACAAAATCGCGATCAATTCGCACATTCGATCACAAGAATAAGTTATCTTAAGCTTTCACAAGGTCGTTAGTTGATGAAAGGAACTTTCTATCTCTCCAAAAGAGAAAGTGTATTTGCAGCAACTATTTATCCGTCTTTATAGATCTATCAAACCCCATAGTTAGCGATATGAGGTGAGGAATGAGTAAATTTATATTTCACAGCAATCAAACAGAAAATTAATGAATGTTACGTTGATTAAAGTTTCACCTTCGGAACTTCAAGTCGAAAATCCGAAGGAGCTGCTACATCACTTAGATCGATGTTATCGTCTCTAGGGTCTTCATCGTCTAAAATTTTATCATCCTCATCTTCTCCTTCACTTTCAGAGCTCGATACGTAATTTTGGGTTTTTAAACCGAGAATTTTATCGTCCAAAGTTGTCATCTTGGATGACAATAAAGTGGATTTCCACTAACGCACAACGGTCAGCGGTAAACCCTTTTTCGGACTGAATTGTGGTGTAATGGTCACGATCCTTCGCATTTCATCTACATCAACCCTTCAGCTGAGGCGGAACTCGATCGCCAATCAAGGAAATCATGTACCTTGAACTGATGAAATGACGTGATTAGTGCCAGTATAGGCATAAATGGGGTTAGTTTAGTCCATCATATATCTTAAACAAGCACAGTCACTTATCTTTTTTGTTTTATTTTTTGAAACAGACATTGATAGGGAACATTTCAGAAAGTCAAAACAAAGTAAGTTATCAAAAGATTACCAAATAAGGTTCAAGTTCGTGAATTTTCAACTTTCCCACATTTGTTTACTATGACAGATTTCTAAACGCGTTTCAGTCTTCTTTCGCGTTTTTGTTTGACAACGGTCGATTGTCGTGTTTCCTTTTACATGTAAAGCTTGCGCTGAAATTGATCCATTGCGCATGCACTTGGTTGACTTTGGCTTGACGCTTAGCGTTGCCTCCAATTAACAATTGGTTCATACATCAGCGTGCGTTCATCGAGATATGAAGCACGCGGGAAGTTTGGAGAGCACGAAAGATGCGTAAGAGCTGCTCGAGGCGTAGCCGAGGGCAACTCTAGCCTCTTGAGTGCTCTCTAAACTTCCCAAGTGCTTCATATCTCGATTAACGCACAGCTGACGTGAGAACCAATTGTTTTATAACATTTTCAACCAGATGGAACATTTTTTTCTCGAGGAATATGTTTGCTGACGTCATGAGCATGCACAATAGCAATATGAAGCACGCTCGCGCAATTGAATTTGATTAGACAAATTTACTAGCTATGTTATGATAAAGCTTGCGCACGACCATGAACCATACGTCGCTAAGCACCTCTAAAGTTCCCCCAGTCTACATCCCTGTGAGTAATTCCTTGGAAGAGAAAGCCAATGTAATAAAATGGTCTTATCTCAATCTGGTAAACTGTTGTTTTTAAAAATCATAAAATTGGCATAATTTAATTTCTTAGAGTTGAAAACCATTCAAAATTGTTTCATTATTTTTTTAACTCCTGGAGCAATTCTTGATATGCGGTTAACTTGGAAGTTTCCAAATAAAGACCTCCCTCATAGGGCAATACAAACTGAGGCTGAAAAAAATGGGATGCTTTTAATTTTCCGGTCACTTGAAGCACACAACCGCTATTTAGCAAGATATTCCCTCAACTATTTGCTTTTAAAATATGTCTACAACTATCAATCCCCTGCAGTGTTTTCATATCTGACCTAATACACAAGGTATTCAAGGTCGCCAGCCTCCAATACTGATCACGAAGTTGTGTAAACTGCGATCAGTCCTTCCTTTTCAGCAAAGTCCGTTGTACTAGTCCAAAAATAAAATTGACCTAAAAGGAAAAAACGATGTCAGCGCGATGGCCTTCGAATTCGCCGAAAGGGAGGGATTTTATTCTAGAACTTATGCTGTTGTTGTGTTCATTTTCCTCCACCCAAAAACAAATTAAACTTCCTTGAATAACTGAACTCGCACATGGGGTAAAAAAGCGGTGAACAAAACACTTAAGAAAAGGCTGGGCAGATCTTATCGTGTCCACCACGTGCTTTAATTGTCTGTAAGGAATGAACTTCCTGTTTACTGAAACACGTACAACACTGACCTGCACCAGGGGCGGATCCTAGAATTTTTTATATGGAGAATGCAACCCGCTCGAATGCAGAATCACAAAGTTTTTTAATACTTAATGCTAAATAGACACTCCGTCGTTTGGGATAATATTTCTTTGAACCAAGTTAAAAGAACAACCACAGATCTGTTGGGATCGGCCAAGGTTCGGACCCCGCCCCCTCCCCCTGGGTCAAGCACAGCGTCAATGACCACTAATATTCAACATCCACGTGACACTGTTTAGAGGCGTAGCGGGGGTACTGGGGTACTCTTCAGTAAAGTGTAGGAGGGAAAAAAATAGAATGATTGACTTTCCTCCGTAAATCTTGAAAAACTTAATAAGAATCTTGCATCTCGTCATTTTGTTACTATTTTGGATAAATCTGTCCAGATTTTCTGGCGCAATTATTTACATTTTCCTCTTTTGGCTCTCCTGTGGTCACTTAGTAATGAGTGTACTATTTAATTCGGGGTTGGGGTTTCGCCCAATTTTACTATCATCACAGAGGGAAACAAAGGCTTATGGAGCAAATGGACATCGAGCTCATGGCAGAGTTTGGACAAAATGTGCAACAAGTTTTGATTATCACTCTAAGAGTTATGCGAGGAGAGCACGTTCGCTTCTAGTACAAATTTGGGTGGTGCATCATTTTGAATTATGTTTTATGACATTCCGACCCCCGCTGCCTTCAATTTTTTTTTTGGTCATCATAAACAATAATTTGAATTTTGCGCTCAATCTTTCTAGATATTGCGTTTTACATCCTGGTGCTATCAAAGTCTTCCTTTCATCATGTTTACACACCATTAGCGAAAAAGATTGACAGAAGAAACCATCAAGTGTTGTGGTTTCCTTACAAGGTTGATTCGCGAACGATTCATCGGTGAATCACAAAAGACCCAGTCAACACTCTTTCACCAATGACTTCCGGTATTTGTATCCGGAATTTCCAATTATGGAAACCCACGCAAATTTATGGCGAGGTTCGAGATTGCATGATTTTCGCTCTTAAACCAAAAAGAAATGTGTAGAAACCGTCCCTAAGCTATCTAATGCTGATGGTTCCGTTTGGCGGTTATGGTCCATGTGATATTAGCGCTGAAGTGAATTCATTTTAAAAATGATGTCGTTCACTTTACCGAACGTGACAAGGATTTGTTGCAATTTACTTCCTTCTCATTATTTTAGAACTCGACCGGCTTTCGTGATTTTAAGAAATTTCAATTCCGTGCATGTTTCGGTTTGCGTCGAAAACCACAAATAGTACCCATTGAACCGATATTATTATTATTATCATTTTAAAAGACCATTCGTTAATCCCACACGAGATTAATATATCACGGACTCCGTGCTTGGTAACAGATCACAGATCAAGGTTGACCTTTGTAAGTCAGCGATGAAAATTACCTTTTTGGGTACAGTTTTTGATTTTGTTGCCATTAAACTTTGATTGGGCGCTGAAAGAAGCAAATCGAGCCTTTTAAGATAACATCTTTGAATCGTTGACAGTAAAGAAACAAACGCAAAGCTGCAATATTTTAAAACGACCCTTGATTACCAAACCTCGTGTATTGGATCGTTTCGATTCTGATACAGTTTTAATATTTTTAGTGTCTACTGATTATTGTCATCCAAGATTGAAAAACTTCACAAGAGAAAATACTGTCGGAACGAATCCTTGCATGTATCCTAATTTAAGATAAAATCGAACTAAATTTTTAATTGTCAAAGTTAGGTGGTTGACGTAGCTAGATTTTCAGAAGGGATCGGCAAGCGACGTCATATCCGTCTAGATTTTCAGGAGATCGTCCCAAGTAAATTATCATCCGGCGGTCGGAACGGACAAATTCTTGTCCGTCTCTAGAAAGCACGAACAGAAACCTTGGAATCTGAACTAAAACATGTACAAGTAATTAAGTTTCTCGTTTACCATTAAAATGTGTGTTATGTGTTCATTATACAAGTAGCTCAAGTACTAATGTCACATCCAGCCAATCACGTGCCGAGAATTGGCTAATTACAAAGGTCAGCGGTCCATGTGCACGTTTCCTGCGAGCGACTAAGGTGTTGTTTTTCACGAGAAAAAGCACTTTAACTTCTCCTTACCCTTATATTGACGAACAGGTTGCGGGATACGGTGGGAGATAGTTTTTCGCTCTGGAAGGCGCAGATGCCGGTTTTAGCATCCACGCTCTGGGGTAGATCTTATCGAGTAATGACTAATCATCGGAGCTCATTTGCGGCATGAATGACAACGACGTGACAGCCTGTACCAAGAATCAATATCTAGATATTTGGCGAAATTCGACTCTGAAATCCTACACTAATTAAGCGACCGAATTCTTTGCAAGATTGGAATCACGAAGCTTTGTAGTTCCCTTTGTTTACGGACAACGTTAGTGGAAGTCTCTGCGATCGCAATCGCCAGAATACCTTCGAGAAATTATCGTCTGGCACTAAGTATTCTAGCGGGGAGCAATTCTTTAATTAACGTAACTAGTCAGAGTGGAAGCCACAGAGGTTTTTCTCGACCATTGATTTCGTTGTGTTCATCTTTGAGGTGTCAACGTGGTGTGAATTTCATCCTCTTTGGAAATTCTTTGTACGACTGTTGTAAACTGTGTGCGAAATACAGACCAGAAATCGATCAAAGCTGGCGGCGATCGCAAATTATAACGATATAACTTTACTCGGGTAAATCGCCGAGTGCTCAGTTGACGCGGAATCAGAAACTATGGCATCTCCGATCAAGCGAATGATGAGTTTACGGGAAACGAAGTCTAACAAGGTAAATGGTGAATCGCCTTCCCAAAGTTCAAATCGAAAGCCAAAAATCTTGAAAATTCTACGCAGACAATCATTTAATCAAGGTAGAAAGCGTAGTAATGACGAATCCAGCACTCGTTCCGCTCCAGAAGTAGTGGACGATCAACAGAATGTACCGAAACCGGTTGTGAAATCGCCGAATCAAATACGTGATTTGGAAGCCTTTCAACAGTACCACAAAGAACTACGCAGTGCAGTTCAGTATTTTATTCTCATTTTGAACAATTTCAAGAGCAACATGGACATTGTAATGGCAAAAATCCCGGACAACACTTCGATCGTGTTGGAGTCAATCATCAATATCGACAATATGCTTGATACCTGTCTGCGACTTCACAGTAGTAACAGCGATCTGTTACCTTACAGAAAATCAATTCACAAACGAATGGCAGAGCTAGTTCGATGGAGCGATCAGCTTTTGGTGCGAGGAAATGTTAAAGGCAATCTCGAAGAAGGAATCGAATGCGTTAAAGATCTTGAAGCGAGCGTGCAGGAATTAGTGGATTTGGCAATTCCGCGGCTTAGAAAACGGGAACTAAATGATGAAATTCGAAACTCAATTTTCATGTTCGAAGGAAGCAGTGAAAGTATTCAAGTTGGTGAATCGGACTACGGACATTCGTCTAATCGAAGAGATTCGGGAATCAGCGAAGGGAGTCTTGTTGATAGTGCTTGTCAGGATTCCAGTTCTTCAAGGGCTTCTCCGGCTACTTCTCGTGATTCTGGTCGCGGTTCTTATAACTACATCCTTGATCAACCTGATACAGCTCATCATAATGGATACTTAAGCCCTCCTGAACCTCCAGTCCGAGGAAGGCAGTCATTCAGGAGCACATCAAATTACAACCATCAACGCAATCCTGCCACCTTAAAAAACTCTGACTGGTCACTCAGCCAGGCAAGCGATTCATCCAGCTATCGCTCGCTACCGCACTCACCAGTTAGTTCTCAGGATGAATTCAATGGCCATGCATTTCTATCAGCATCAAGCTCTGTTGAAGAAGAAGGATCATTCTTTTCTGCAGATGATCATGAAGAACCAGAGGGCCCTATAATCCAAGCCTCTTTTCTGGGATACATAGAGAATCATGAATTATCAACACCCAAAAAGAAATCCTTTCAAGTGTACATTGAACTTGTTGGAAATTACACTCAGCCTGCTGATGGGATCTTAAAACGGCCATCATCTGCTTATGATGGTTACCAGGAAAGTTTTCGGCGTAGCATCAGTACAAATGCAAATTCTCCCACCTCACCTGTGCTCAATAAAGAAATGTTTGCATTTCGAAACGTTGCAGATTCAGAACGTTCTCATTCTCTTCCCACCTTGCAAGCAAGTACAGGAAAACTCTCGCCTTCCCACCAAATCAAAACAAATGGAACCCTTGACTGGAACAAAAATGTCAGAACAGATTCTCAAAGGAAAAAGCTACTTCCACTTGAGGAAGAAAGGTGCCGGAAACAAAGTAACACCAGCAGTAGCTCAAGCAGTTTGAGTGGAACAGAAGATGAGGACGTCAATACCCCTGCACTTGATTGTTTGGATGTTTCAAGGTTTCTTGTCTATCGCAATGATGACGATGGGCCGACGCTCATTGGTGGAGCTATTGATGCACTCATTGTCCATGCCAGTGGTTCAACAAAGAAAGACCTGGTTTATTATGAAGCTTTCCTCACAACTTATAGAACTTTCATTTCTCCTAAGGATCTTATCACCAAACTCCTCTACAGGGAGAGGAGGTTTCGAGAGAAAGGTTCTAAGAGAGCCAGCCAAAATGCTTTCTTCTTACTTCTCAGAGTTGTTGATGAATTGACTGGAAAAGTTGAGAGAAGCATCTTGGAGCAGCTAATGAAAGAAGTGTATCGCCTTCTTGTAAATGGAGACATTGTTCTTGGAAAGATTTTGCGTGACAAAATGTTGCCAAAGTGTGACAATTACTACAAGTCGCGTTCTCCTTCGAGCAACACTCCTCCTACCCTCCCCATGGATCCAGCACAGAGGTACACAGTGTTGGATTTTAATGCTGAGGATCTTGCAAAACAACTCACCTTAATTGATGCTAGGAACTTCCACAACATTGAAATTCCAGAAATCCTTGCATGGGGTAAGGAACAAAAGGAGGAACTCTCACCAAACTTGTGCATTTTTACAGATCACTTCAACAAAGTTTCCTATTGGTGTCGTACGCATGTTCTCTCATTTGAGAAACAGAAGGACAGGGAGCAGGCCTACCTTAAATTCCTGAAAATCATGAAGCATTTACGGAGGTTCAATGACTTTAACTCATTCTTTGGAATCCTTTCTGCGCTGGACTGTTCTGCAGTGAGGAGACTCAACTGGCCTAAGAATTTGCCAGAGAATCTAGCAGAGTATGCAACATTGATTGACAGCTCGTCATCTTTCAGGTCATATCGGGATGCACTGGCACAAGCACAGCCACCTTGCATTCCCTATCTTGGACTCATCCTCCAAGATGTCACGTTTGTTTACCATGGTAACGCAGATGAACTGCCTGATGGCAAAGTGAATTTTGTGAAGAGGTGGCAGCTTTTTAATATTGTTGACAATGTGCGACGGTTTAAACTTACAAGTTATGATTTCGAGTGGAATGATCAGATTTCACAACTATTTGCAGGAATGGACAATTTCTTGTCAGAAGAGGATCTGTACGAGAGGTCTCTTAAACTGAAGCCTCGAGAATGAACGTAACTACGTCTCCTAGTTCAATTTCATGACATTAGTGGATATGTACTTAAGGTGAAAATATTATTGCATTATGCAGTCCACATATTATTCAATCACATTTTGAAATTTTTTAGAAAAATGCCTAAATCCTTTTTTTTTTGTTTTTATTGTTTTTCTTTTGTGCATAATTGCATGTTGATATTTTCCAGTGTACAGTCAGATACTTATGATATTTTGGCCTCCAAATTTGACTTCATTGGTACGGCCCCTTGCAGGCTTCATAAATAATTTAGTGGCAGCTGATTTTATATTGAGTGAATTGTTTCATGTTGGTGACTGTTAGCTTCTAGAAACACTGGCAATGCAAATGCCTAGGCAATATGGTGCAACCACACTGAGAATAATTCTGTATCGATCTGAGAAAAATTATTTGTCTGCCTCAGTGGCACCATTATTGGTTGCTTGACGATAAGAGAGAGAAAAAGCAAGTTAAGAAAGATGGGAAAAGACTTAAATACTTAAATACTCTCCTTAAATTTTACTGTCTCACTTCATGGCTCTTGCACCAAACTTTCATGAAGGCAATGAAAACTGCTAACTACACAGCTTATATTGTGCCATGTTACCAAATTTTCATTTTAACTTGTTTTGAGTTTTAAAGAATGTGCGTGTGGTGAGGTACTGTGTGTATGTTTTTTCCAGGATGCCAACATTAACCGATTTTTGGGCACCAGGTTGAAAACCATTTTATATCGAGTCTGGACAATTGGTCTATGGAAAAGCAATTGAGAGAAAATTGTGGAAAATAATTGATAGATCAAAGGTTGTCTTGTAAAGTGCATGAAAATAGGGTCACTGAATATAATCTTGCAGTTTTTCAGTTTTTAGGTTATATTTGCATGCCAACATACTAAAAAAATCTTAGACTGTCTTTAGTAACTCAGTGTACCTATCATATAGGATTTTTATAAGTCATAGTTTGCAAGAGGTACAGTTGCATGCAACATTTAAGGCAGGTTTTTTTTATGATATAGCTAACGCACACTGCAATATTGCTTCTGCAACAATCTGTACCACAATTACTGCACAGCAATTTGTGCAAGATGCCCATTAACAGTCATCAGTTTCGGATTGTTTATATTTTAGGTTTTAAATTACAGTGATAGTTGAGGGTAATTTAACAAAGTCTGGAATTGAGAGGAAGTATACAGTTGTTCTCAATATTTTTGGTCAATGTAGACATGCATAAATTATGTTTCTAGAGAGTGTTTTTATGTTTATAAAAAATTTCACTATATAGATAAACTATTCCATTATTATTAATATTGTTTTTATAAGCTTCTGAAACTGCAATATTATTTATGGCTTTTTGGGTCACGGCTTGATGGAATATTGGTGCTTTCAATTATCTTTTACATTTCAGGAAAGTTGAATGCAATCTGTTTTGTGTAATGAAATAATTTTTATGAGAAATATGTGAGTGAGTGGTTAGGTTTTACAGTAATTTTAATTATTAACAGATAACATATTTTTGTATTTTTGAAAACAATTTTGAAAAGACAAGGAGTTTTGAGTGATCACTTGAAATCTGAGGTAGATTTGTTTATTGCATAGGATGTGGAGTGATTGGGAGAAAATTTTTTTATTGTGTGTTTTTCAAATTATTTTTTAACATGTACATGTAAATGCTTAAAATAATTGATGTGCTTGAAGCAATTGAATTGTCTGCTTTGAGTCAAGCTGGCCCTCAGCAGGTTAAAAGATAATCTCTCTTTTCATCAATTTTATCAGATAATGTTTGTTTCAGGATAAGTTACCTTTTTGCTATATCCTGTCTGACTATGCCCACTTGACAAATTTTATTTGCCTGCCTTGATAAGAAGAAAATAAGCTTTACTTTACGTAACTGGCTTAAAACATTAGTGCGGAGAACAGACAAATTGCTGCAAGTTACAGTGTAGTGAAGCCAAAGTAAAATTTCGAAAGTGAAAGTGCCTGTCTGTATGATGTTATTCCAACTTGTTTTTATGAAAGAAAAGTTACAATTTTGTCATTCTCTCAGAGAGTTAACACTGTGTCACTGCAGGAGACAATTTTAGTCACAGATTAGATAAATAGCTTGCTGTGCTCCTTATTTCTCAATGCAATCAAATTTTAGATCTCTCAAAGGAAGTTTTAAGAAGCATCTAAGTACTCTAATTTTAATCTGAAAATAATTTACATTGTTAAAACTTTTTTTATAATTGATGAGAACCACAAAAGTTTCTTTTGTAATATTAAAATTGTGAAGAATTGAAATTTTGGTGTTTGTCTTTTGGGGTTAAGGGATTGAGGAAGGTTGTTGCCCTATGATTTGCGTTAATCTATAGAAAGACTACCAGAAGAATGGTGGTTTGAATGAGAACAGATACCATGTTTTAATGACTTATTCGGTGATTTTTATCGATAAATACCGAGATTTATTTTTATGGCACACGCGAAATGTTAAACATCCAATTCTCTCTTGTAATTAAATTCGCGGTGCAACGCTCCGCGTAATCTAAATACTTGTAGAAATGTTTCAAAAGCTCCGAAAGACTTAATTTAATCAAGTATTTGCTATGAAAGTGAAAACCGCTTTTGAAGGAGTGGTTAAAGATTTTTCACTGTTCAGTTGGATCACCAGGATTAAAACTCAGATCTTATCATAATCCGGCTTTCGGCCTTTTAAAATAAATTATAATCTTTATTATTGATGTGTATTGTTACGAATTCTTTTCAGCGATAATCTCATTTCTTGAACAGAAATCTCTTAACAATATACAAACTGGATTAATTGAAGTTTCCACGCGAATTGGCGACAGAGTGATGTAGCAAAACAAACGAAAGTTCTAGGTTAGGTTTTGTTCTTAAACCCAATTAAAGCATTGGGCTAATTCAGTAGGTTTTAGCGAAGTAACAAAATTTATGCAGTAATGTGTGATTGTTTACGCGAAAGCGTAATTATTTCAGGAAACAAAATAGCAAATTAGCAAGTTTCAAAAATGAATAAATTTGAATTGGAAACAAAACAAAAAACAAAAAAAAATACGGTTACGCAAGTATGAATCAGAAAAGTTGCTTCAGATGTCTCCATACAACAATTTCAACGTTGCAAAAAATTTGCTTCCTTAAATAATTTGTTCGTGTCGTTGATGGACAGTTACTCAACTGCAATTTTTGGTACCTCATGCAAAGTTATTTTGTTTCGCGAATGATGACTAAAGTTATTATTGAACAAGAGCAGTTCTAAAAATAACGCTAAAGAATTTGAGCATTTTTTACGCAAGGTCAGTTCAAAACTACACGATTCTGTTCCTGCGAACGACCACTTTGCGCAAGTTTTTCTCCTTGAAATTTCGACAAGACTTCTTGTTGTTCCAGAGATAATATTCAGTAAAAGTTTTCTTTACCACAGAAAAACTCCTTGGGCTATTTGTAGAAAAATTTCGTGCTCGGCTCTCTGCTTCAGAAACAAAAAATTTCAAACATGTTTGTGATTGAAAAGATGCTTCAGAAAGGCTCGTATGGAATGTTAATTACTTTACTTCAGGGAAAACCCATACGTTTAGCAGAAGAGGGATTGGGGATGAGTGGGAAGAAACTCAAATGACTTGTGAAACGAATCAAGGGCCCGATCGAGTCAAATTTACGTGACGGCAAGATAGAAATATGAAATCAAAATCTACGTATGTTTTCCATAAGTTTGGGAAAGAGCCGAAAAATTAATCATCTACCGGTGTGTGACTTGAAAAATTTACTCCTCATGCAATCTCACTATCTCCCCCCCCCCTCCCCTAGTACAAATAATTCACTTGAAAATTAGAAAAATACTATCAGATTGGACGGAAAGACGGGGGCGGGGCAGGGATTTTGGGCCTGGTCTTTCCCTGTTCTTTAAATAAGTTGTATCTTTCGAGAATTTTCCATCCAATTACATTCGATAATTTGTCTTCGCGACCGGCTGCAGTGGGGACAAACATGCCACTTTCAGGAATAGAAAAAAAAAACATCCAGACAATTCGCATCTCATTTGAAAGTGAAAGAACGGCAACGTGTTTTTGTCGTTTTCCTTCTCAAAACGAAACATCGCGTGAGTAACCTTATGCCTTTGAGAACATTGTACATAATAGTTTCATAGTGTCACGCTTCACGTGATTGCGTGAAAGTAACTCCAGTTTATGAACTTTTGCGACTTAACGCACGTGCGATATTATCAAATTTTGCCAACATTTTGTCATTGCGTGCAATAAGCAGCGCAAAAATTATCTGTCACTTTCAAAGAGGAAATGTTTATGACGAGAGATCGCCACACTTTTGCTTTCCAAGTTTTTCCTCTTTTTAGACAGGAAGTTGTCAAGGAAAGTTCTGTAGGAGGTTCGTGAGGTTAAACTTGAACGCACGTTGTTCCAGCAGGTTCCAATACAGTGAATGTATGCAAAAGCCCATTACCAATGGATTCCTAGTGTAAGTTTTGCCTTCGTTACAAGTTCACTAATTTACTCCAAATATGTCACTGAAAAGGAAATTCTAAAATTTGGCGAAAGTTTTCCTAAATTACTTGAATGATTGAGCCGACGAAACGAAAATGTTTTTCTTTCCAGTCAATTTGCAACTGTCATAATTATGATCACGCAACTTCAAGAAGGAAAGCTTGGTTCTCTAATTGTCCTAACTCACTCGTTCTCTCTCACGTGAACACATCAAACTTCACGTGCCCTCCACAACCTTGCGAAAAATAAATAAATGGATACATATATAAAACGATCGAATATACTCGACATCGTATTTAGGGCTAAAAGTCAGTGCATAATGTTAAACTCCATTTTACATTTTTCATCGACGAAAACCGACTCTTCACTAGCTGTATTTTATTTCAAGTGCACGAATGCAGCATAAGGCAAGCCCACCGGGCCTATAGCACGTAAATATTATCAGACGAAGGGCTTAACGCACGTAAAATTCCGTGACAGTGGAGAACCCTTTCCCTCGCACCCAAATCCACCTGACTGATCAGGCGACCAGGTTGGTTTCGAAAGACCCCTCTTGGTGTCGCTCAATGAGCCTTGCCCTTTTAATCAGGCCCAAATCATGCAAAGATCGCACAATAAGTCCAATAACACTGGATCATGTGGCTTACTCTGCCCAAGGAACAATTACGCTCGCCAATAAGGCATAGCAATGCAAAGCACTCTCTCACTTCTCGCGTCAAACAAGTTTTGGACCAAACCTGCGCAAAAGGCCACAAATGAACTAGGACGGTAATCAAACAGGTTATCACATGGTTTTCCTCCAGCAATTTTGAGTAAACACTCTCTCTCCTTTTTTTCTCTTATTTTTTTTATTATTTATTTATTTATTTAATTTTTTTAAAAAACTAAAAATTGCAATCGCCCCGCGCAATTTCGTTAGCCTTAAGGAAAATTACTCGGGCTAAGTTATTCCAAATTTCACTCGAAATCATGCGAATACTTACACAAAAACACATTGAGAAGCTCTGATAATCAGTTTTCAGTGTTTCACCCATGTCAGCCGGCCCAGAAGTCACTGAACTCATAAGAGCCATAAGTAGGCTCCTAAGGGGGCAACCATCACGGGGACTTCGTCTGTCAATGTCTTGATGACTTTAAAATCCCCCTGGAAAACACGGGGGTTTACCCCACGGGAATCAGATACTATGGTTCCTTGCGCAACAAAATGATTTAAAGTGGTAATCGTCTATACACGAGACATAAAAATATAGTTCACGCCCGTCACATGAGCAAAGAAGAAACACAAATCTTGCAACAGATCCGATTAACCGGACAAAGTTTACAGGCCACCAGGGTCAACCTCATTAAAGTGTCTCGGCAAATGATTCCTTTACGAACGCTTGGAATAATACAAATAAATAAAATCGTTTCCTTGAATCCCAATTCGTGTTTCCACAAGGTAACAACTGACTCTCCAGTGGTAATAGAAAAACAGCGCAATGCAGGAAATCGCGAACAAACTTGTTACTATTGTCAGAACAATAACAGTGTGATCCTCGTCCAGCAGGACAGTGGGAAGTTCTCCGAAATCCACCTCTCTTTCTGAGTTCTTCGAGAGCAGTCTCATCATAAACTAACAAAAATTGAAATGTTCTTCCTTGGAGATTTGTTCATGAGGTTTTGACGAAGTTAGATTAGAATCTTGGTCGAAACTTGACCTGCAAAACAAATGTTATTTTTATAACGTTGCGCATTACCGAAAAGCGAACAGACACCTTCCTGTCTTATATAACGATCAGACACTGTAAAATCTCTGTCTGCCTAATCGAGATGACTTTGCTCATTGATCAGTGTACTTACCTTAAATACAAGACTTCTAATCGGAAATCTTCTCGACGTTATTCCTTTGAGTTGTCTGTTTCACAATATGACAGGAATTCAAACAAGATAAACCGGTCCGGGCTAATTACTGAACGGTTAGTTGTGTGCTTGCGCATGAAGTCGACCTTCTTGTAGCTTATTCTGGTAATACGAAACACGAGAACAAGAGATCAGTTTCAGAACCAAGGTTAAAAACCAAAGCCGCAGGCTGAGAGTGTTCAATAGATTTTTAAATCGTTCTCAAATAACCAGAACATCCTGGGTCACACGTCCTTGCTTTACCCAACAGCTACAGAGGCCACCGGAAAGTCGTATTTGACTTACCTACACGTTCGTTTTGACGGTGGAAGTAAGGGATTCGGTTTCTTTATTTACGCTTTGTGTTCCATAACATGAGATTAAATGGTTTGTGAACCCAACCAAAGCGACGCAGCTTGAGAAAAGACGCTCCTTCTCGCGCGCGTGCGAGAGGTCAAGAAACGTGCGCGACGAAAAGTTATCCCCTGAGTTCGGTGCTCTCGCGCACGCGTATCACTCGAGTTCTTTCCCAGGGTTGTTTGAACGGTTGACATATGTTCTAATGTGTAACCCGTCATACAGAAGATAGCGCACTTTGTTTTATCAACGTTCCTCGCTGAGAAGTGATATATTTATCGAATAGTGTTACCCTACGTTATCCACACCTACGGAAACATGTATGAGTAACGCGCACCATAGAATACACGCGCTGATTCTAGGGCACGTGACCTTTCACTCGCGAGTGTCACGCGTAATCGGAACCGGGCTCCTGGGTGCATAAAATAATAAACAAGGAAAAAAAAACACAAGCTCCTCTTTGTTTCAGAATAACATGCTGGTTCATGTGGTGAGATTACAATTTATCTTCCCCCTCACTAGGAGAGCTTTCAAAAACTAATTAAAAAATGGGTAATTTAGTGTTAACAACTGGGTTGAAAACGTAAATTAGCCACCGTAAAGGGTAAAAAAGCTGACGTTTCGAGCGTTAGCCCTTCGTCAATCGCTCTGACGAAGGGCTAACGCTCGAAACGTCAGCTTTTTTACCCTTTACGGTGGCTAATCTACGTTTTCAACCCGGTTGTTAACACTAAATTACCTGCTATACTCTCCCACCGACGCAGCACCACAGTTTCTTTAGAAACTTACCCCTTTAATTAAAAAATGATTTTTTACCATGAAATTGTTATGCGACCCAAAAAGCTAATTTTGTCATGTATTACATGTCACGAAATCTCTTCTTCAAGTAATACATGACAGCTTACAGCCGCGGTACCGGAAGTAGTGGTTCCAATCCCAGGTCAACTAACTAAGCACGCGGTATAAATCAGAAGTTTCTATGCAACTTTGAAAACGCGGATGAGAGGAAGGTGCCATTGGAACGGTCTCCACAAAGATCGGTAAAAGAATCAGTATGACCAGAACATTCATGTTTTCTTCACATTAGTAATAAATAACCAGGACCTTCACTAGAGTCCGCATTCAACACAGACATCATACATATTCGGCTCAGAGGAAATGCTCTCCAACTATAGAAGTACTTGATTGTTACACAAATTTTTTCTTGTCATTACTACAGGAACTTTGTACAGAAAAGTGTGGAGAACATACGCATACTGACGTTACAAGGTAAAAAAGTTAATTCAAAACTTTCTGAGTCACCAGAATTTATTTTTATTGTTCTCGCACAGCAAGTCTTTTAAATTCTTCACTAGTTAAAAGCTAATGTCTTACTAGAAAGTTATGTGGTTTGGATGCTTAAGGAGCCTCCTTACAGGTTTGGCAATCTTTTCATTCCCAGAGGTGGGCAAAAAGAAAAATTACTCTTTGCAATATGAATAGATTTTCAAGTAGAAAGGCAATGAGAGGAGAGAAAATATCACCCTGAGGGTGTTTGATTTACTGCTAAATTTTCAAAGCTTAAATTAAAGAAATGTGTGGAAGACAGAGCTGAGAATTTATATTTAGATCTTGTGGGTAAAAGGATGAATCTCTGAAGTTTAGGTTTCTGTAGAACAATCTTGCTTCTCTGAAGTAACAGACGGATCGGAAATAGGCAATGAAATATGCAGCAATACATCACTGGCATCCATAATATCTCCCGGATGCCCAAGGGCACCCTGGACAGTCACCACATTGCCGAGAGGGCCATCAACACTTATTCCAGTAGGAACGGTACTGTTAGACGTGGGAGTGGGGTCGGACAGGTTCGTGTTTTCATCAGTTTGTGACTGAAGGATTTGAGAGGGAAGAGTCGAAGTGACAGACATGGGGTTTTCGGTAACCATCATCACATTAGTCGATTCAGCTGGGGATAAAACAGAAGGTTCGTCTGACTGCGACTGAAGTATCTCATCTGGTAGAGTGACCTGAGGAACCATTACGTTCACAGATAACTCATTGGCATTGCTAGTGCGGCTTAGTGTATGCTGTGGAAGTGTCATAGCGGGTGATGGCGATAAAGTAGCAGGAAGACCTGTCTCTATGTTTGACATAACTGTGACGTGTACGTCCCCCAAGGGATCTGGGCTGACGATGACGTCCCTGTTTTCCGGGCCAACTTGATGCATGTGTACTACTGGCCTGTCTGGGAGGTGTGTTCCGTCTAACGTCTGGGCGATTGCCGCCGGACCTAGAGGCAAAACACACGCATGAAAGGTTTAAACATCATACATAAAATTGGGATCAAAGTCAGTATCTGAGCAACAGCGCACCGTCCCTTCCCCTCACCCAACTTTAACCCTAACTTGGTATCTGTCGGTAAATGTTTTTGGGTTAGGGGAGGGGTGGGTACGCAGCTGCTTAAATCCTGAGATTGATCCAAAATTAGCATAAGTTTACATTGCACTGTCGAGCGATTTGCAGCTGCGCGTACGCTCTTAATGTTTGTTAGAGGTTAAGTGCACTGATCTACTTGTTCGTCTTATCACATCTATTTTACTTTCTGTCCGAGATCCGTTAGTCTTTGATGCTACCTTCCAGTCTTCACAAACTGCAAATTCTACCTATGTTTAGTAAGGCTTTACGCAGGTGGACGATAAGCTAGAGCTTAGGGTTAGGGTTGCCTTGCCTGTGATAAGGACATGGTCTAATTACCTTTTTAGAAAGTTATTTCGCGAAATGACGACTTTAAAAAGAGTGTGCTTGCAGCCTTGCTTTAATCAACGGCAAAAAGGGGAGAATCTCAAATTAAGTAGCCTGTTTCAGGCATTCGATTAGCAAAACGGAGCGAAATAGCAAACTGCACGATAGTAGCGGAGATGTGAAAGGCGAAGGAGGCTTGGGTCGAGTCGGGTAAGTAACGCGTTCATTACGCGACCCGACCCAAACCTCTCCCGTTTTTTCACTCCTCTGCTACTTGTGCGCCGTTTACTGTCACTCTTCGTTTTACTAAATAAACGCCTGGAACAGGCGACGAATTAAGTTTTGAAAGCGTAGAACAACACCTACCCTGAAATGGAGGACTGGTGAAAGCCTGATTTGTGCTAGCTACATTGCTATCCTCGTCTCTACCCGATGTTGGGTGATGCGGCAAAGCAGTCTGTTTGCTCCCACCTTCTTTCGCATTGGATGCTTCCACCTGGAGCTCATCTTGCACCAGACTCTGGTGGCCTCCCAACTGACGGGTGTCTACAGTCTGGACAGCCTCTAGGCTGGTCTGGTCGACTGTGGCATGGCTACCATCGCCCTGTGACACCACAGATGTTTGCAAATCGGCGGCAGGTTTTACAAACTTCGTATGACTTAGACCTGCGTTGGTCAGTTCCGATGCTGTAATGGGACCGGAAATGTCTGTTTGTACAATGGCTTGAGTAAACTCGGGTCCAACCTCTGGGAGGGTTTGAACGGCGTGATGGGCCTGGAGAACAGTCACTACCTCCTACAATGAAAAATAAGTATTCGATTCAGTCAATGTCGAGACATTTTGACACATTTTAGTTACATTTAAAGCTCAGTTCATCTTGAACGAGGCTATTTTTGAAGGAGAACTGTTTGAAATCTCTGTGTTAAAGATGCGACAAGTGCGAATCTAAGAACACAGCGGTCAACGTCGGAAATGCGCTTGACTCATTTAACACAGGTTATCTAGCGACTGGAATTCCGGTGATTTATCATTTTGCTTCGAATTGTACCAAAAAGGTGTACGTTTTCTTTAAGACCGTCACATGCTGCAATTCCGGTATACTTCTTCTCTATCTGTTTTGCTCAGCAGTTTCAATGTTTGTATATGCGCAGACAATATATCGCTGTGCATCCATGCAAAAATGCCTTATGGCTCAAGACTAACTCTCGATCCCAGAGTCTTTGCTTTTTTTGGTCACGAGGTAGAAGAAACGAGCGAAAGGCTACAGTTTGTGAAAAACGAGTGGCTCTTAGACGAGAATGTACTCAGTCTGTGAAAAATTATCAATGACCTGGTCATGTTGACTAGTATCAATTCCGTCAGATCCTGAGGTGAGTTCTCCCGTGTGCGCCTGCCTCACTAAACTTCCAGCCGGCTGCTGAATAATGTAGGTCTGTCCTGCCGGCGCTTGTATGATGTATGACGGTGTCCCTTGAACAGCGGACGCAGTGTGAAACATATCTTGTGGTGTAAGTGCATTGACCTGTACCACTTCGAATCTATTGTGACTGGTAGTGAGAGGAGATGTGTCGTCTTCTCTTGATACTGTTCCATCACTAGTGACTGGAATAAATTAAAGACAAGCTGAATTTCGGACAAGATGAAGTTCTATTGTATGTCATGGACAAAGTTAGCTTGATTAGGAAAGAAAATCGCAGAACAATTTGTCTACAAATCCATAAGTAAAAAGGATAAGAGAGATGGTAAGTTTTGAGCTCGGTAAAGAAATGGAGAAAGATGTTTTTCGTCTTGTCACGAGCGTGGGACAAAGAAAAATTCTGAGTCCCCAAAAGGAATTGAACTCCAGACCTCCAGATCGGATTCCGCGCTCCGATGCTCTACCATCTACGGTGAGCGAGGGCTATTACGAAGTTCATATGACACGCGTCCTGCATATTGCTAGGATCAGCAATGTCAATAGCGTCATGTTTGTAAATAGAATAAGAAAAATGTAACGAAGTTCATATGAAACCCATGAGGAGACGAACCTCAGACCTTCGGATTCCGCACTCCGATGCTTTACTACTGAGCCACAGAGACTCTACGATGAGCGAGGTATATTACGAAGTTCACATGACACGTATTCTATTCACAAACATGACGCTATCGACATTGATGATCTTAGCAGTATGCAGGACGCGTGACATATGAACTTCGTAGTAAACCTCGCTCACCATAAAGTTTCTGTGGCTTAGTGGTAGAGCATCGGAGCTCGGAATCCGAAGGTCTGAGGTCCATTTCCTCATGGGGACTCAGAATTTTTCTATGTCCCACGCTCGTGACAAGACAAAAAACACCTTTCTTCAAATCCATAAGTGAAAACGTTTTTCAAACGTTTTTCTGTCCTCGAAAAAAAAAAAAAAATTACCATCTTCCTCAATATCCTCTTTTGGGACGTCAGATTTTCCCTCCAGCCCTCGCTCTTTGAGCAACAGACCGCACTTTCTGTCGGTTTACCAGCGTAATATAAAGCCATGCGGGATATTGGGATAACACTCGTAAGTTTGTACATCACTCGCCCCTGGTTTGTGATCAACAAACCTTTCTCGTATTCTCCTAACATCCCAAGTTGCTTAGGACGCCGGTAAACCGAAAGCACATGCGGTCTATTACTTCTATAAAACAACCTTTAACTTTCTAGGGGTTTATAGGTAGGGACGACAGATTTTGACCAATCGGGGCGTTCTTAGCATCTCAGTTATTTAATAATAACAAATGTCAAGCAACTCTCTTTAATTACCTGTTATTGTGTGAGAAATTCCCGAGTTTGTAATAGTTCCTGTCGATATGGGGTTTACATGAACTGGTCTTGCACTGGGAACTAGGGACACCCGTGGCAATTGAGTTCCTTTAAAGCGAGCTTCTTGTCTTTCTATTTTGTTTTGCAGTGTTGGGATGTAGTTGTGGAATAAAAAAGAAACTATAGCTGTGGACCAAACAAGACAACAAAAATGATTAGAATTATATAAACGAAACAGAGCAATTTTCAATTCATTGTCGAAAGTAAACCGAGGTTGCATGGGTTTTACTACACTTCGCCCTATGATTGGTCCCGTTAAACTCGAACCACTCTCCCAACCAATCAGATTTAAAACTATTGAAACCAATCGTGACTCGGTCGCCCACGTTTTCCCGCGCTTTAGACACTGGGGTTGTATTTACTTGGAGTTCCCATTGGCTCTTAAAGGTTACTTCCTTTCCATCAATTTGCCATTGTGACTATTATGGTTTTGGTTTCACGACAGTCAATCGAAAGGCGCCCGATTTTGAGAAGTAAGTCAACAAGACATCTTGATTTTCCACAAGAAATTGAGAAAAAAAAAATACTTGACAAAAAATAAAAAATTTACAATGATAATTCCTCAAGTGAGGAAAAAGTTGTTACTAAGGATAGAACAGTAAAATTTTGAATTCTGCCCAATAGTAGGAAGAGAAAAAAAAAGTCGGCGGTATCAGAGGGACGATAAATGCTGGAGTAGTATCTTAGAAGCCTTTTGTCCTTATCTTAATCATCTTGACAAATAATTTACGAGCAGGTTCTTATTATTAGCGCTGTAGGCTTCGGACACGCGTTTCTCCGACTGCGGGAAGATTGGAGACGGGTTGAGGTGAGGTTTG